CCAACAGCTGGTCTCGGCGGCCATTTTAAATCGGAAAATTTAAATGGCACTGCGGTGTGGGACAATATGAGAATCATTTATTAACACGCGAATGACAATTTAATACCCGGATTCTTTTATTGAGTAATGTATGTACCCAAGCAATTCCTTACGTTTCACATGAAAGGTAGAAAGACCGTCCCCAAATAATTCTCAACGTATATAAATATAAATGTTTAGAAATTGATTATACTCCCCTCCCTCACTACACTATCACTCGAAATTAATTAATTAAAGGAGTTTTATTCTTCCCTACATAATTTGGTCTTGAGGAATCGATTCCCCAAATCATTTAAAAGATTTGAGTAATTTTTAAAAAATTTTGAATTATATGTTTGCTAACTATACGGTTCAACTTAAATAATTTATAATAAATCGAATAATTTTCCCCAAATGTTGAAACCTCCTGCCAAAATATCCCAAACGATCCCCAAACTAATGAGCATCATTAAAATGCATAATTAATTTTTCGGTTGCCAAGTATATGGTGGTCCATCCGGGCCTTAAGGTATGATACAAGCAGGTATTGTCAAGCCAAAAACAGGGGACAAGTTCTCTCAGGCGGCACGAGACAGCGCGGCGGTCACTATCGCCTTCCCCTCATCTCCACGTCATCCCCACTCTGCAGCTGTTCGGCACTGGTGGGACTATTTGAAAAATGATAATTTAAAATAGCAGGAAAAAATGTAAAATATGGCCTTGGTTTATGGGATGTGTGGTATCTACATGACCTCAAAATTTCAAAAATAAAATAAACTATAAAAGCATTACCCAGTCTCCGAAAATCAGGCAATGACAATAAATAAAAAGATTCCTCTTATTTTTTATTAAAAAATAACAGCGACTTACAGCTGATGCAGCAGTTTTCGCAAACGAACCGGCACTCGAGCTGACGAGATTAGAAAACAGAACGTAATTCAATGTATCTGATACTCCCATTCCCGTTTCAGAGATCCAATCGAAGTGTTTTTGATGGTCAAGACCAAAATCCACACGCTAAATTCTCTTCAATCAATTATTTTTCACTGACTATTGGATTTTACGTGATTGCACTGTTTTTTTTAAGAGAGAATTATTTATTAGGTTAAGAATTTTCGCAATTATCGTATCTCTTCAAATTGAGACTACCCGCGGTGTTCTGTACGCATCGACGGTGTGCGTGCGTATGCACGGAGTATCGCCTGGCGACCCCCCACTCGAGCGGTCTTCTGTGCGCATGGAGGGTGTTCTGTGCGCATGCGGGGTGCTCTGTGCGCATGCGGGGAGAATCGCCGGGGGGCCCCCCACTCGAACGCCGCCTCCAAAGTCCTGTCATTTTGAGTGGGGAGTCAGTCGTTCCGCGACCCGCGCGTGGAACGGTCGGTCGCGCGTCGCGTAGTTAAAATCCGTTAACATCGGAGTCCTAGTGAGCGCAGAAGACAAGCGCCTCCCGTGAACATTGAAAATACAAAGTGCGGGACTCAGTGCAAGTGATTTTGTGAATTGTTTAGTGTGTGTTTAGATACGGACTGAAGTGACAGTGCGAATTAGATTCGAAGGATTACTTTTCTCATTCATCTTATTTTGAATGATTAAAAATATTATTTGATC